ATAAATATATGTATGTATGTATGTATGTATGTATTTGCGTGTGTGTATCACCTATACAAATATACCTACACTAAACCGAAATTTTATCACCTCCTATTGCTGCAGGACAATGCAGAGAAGTCATACGCTACCACGATAACCAAGACTGTAGCCTCAGGGCAGAAGCTGGATATTGTGTTTGCCTTGATCCGTATTGGTCTAGTTAAGTGTGACCATGCCATGATACAGGCGAACCTTGCCAAAGCCAAGACTATGATTGAGGAGGGGGGCGATTGGGACCGTCGAAACAGGCTGAAGGTGTGTTGCAACGTATTCACTGGCTATACAAATTTTGTGGAGATGTCAGATATGCTTGTTTTTTTGTGTGTTTTTTTCGTATGTGCCATGGAATTGTGGGTCTATAATTCATAGTTCGTTTCTCTTGTTTTGTTAATGTGTATCTACGGTATTCGTTTGTATACGAAATGTACGTGAATATTGTTGTAAGCTCGCACTGAAACGTCACTCGATTCTGATGGTTAAACTGTATAAGTAGATACTGTGATACATCTATGTGTACTAATACTTATGTCGCTTCTGCCTGCATGCTGTAGAAAGTATTGTTTGTACTTACAGTAGTATGTGTACATATATACACACCTGTTATGTTTACTTGGGGAAACATACCTCTATTTCCATATATAGATGGGTTGACCTTTTGTTATGTAGTATAGGCATTCATAGTCTGGCGCTGTGTTGCATATAAGATATTTCCTATACTCATTTTCTCTGTATATCTGCTCAGACCATACAGTTATTGACAGATACTATCAATAAAATCCGATGCTTTATATTTCTCAACGCTTTCTCATGTATATCTCAACACCCCGTACTGACAGGTATATGAGGGACTCTACTTCATGTTTGTGCGCGACTTTAAGCAGGCTGTGGACCTACTGCTAAGCACACTCTCCACATTCACTGCATCTGAACTCATGGACTACGAATCCTATGTCAGCTATACCGTCATCTGTAGCGTCATCGCTCTGGATCGAGTGGATCTGGCTGAGAAGGTATGTTTATGTGTATATATATATATATATATATATATATATATTTGTATTATGTATGTATGTATACTATATATATATATGTGTGTGTGTGGTGTGTGTGTG